AAAAAAAAAAACATCTAGGTTTTTTATAAAGTTCGACCGATTCACGATTTCGATTTCGATTTTTTTTTTCTTCGTGTTACTAGTCTTCTCAAAACATTACAGCAACATGACTGAAGAAACATTCTCTTTAAAAGTAACTTGAAAACTCATCTGGTTAAGGAACATTGTGTTTTTAATGGCCATGTCATACAAAAAAATTAGTCAAGGTGTAAATAAATGTAAAACAAATTCACGAGTTAAATAGCGTTGCTGAAGATTTGAATGAGAAATATTTGTGTAAATATTGCAGTTGCAGGAATACAGAGGGATTTTTTGCTAGTTTTGCTGAGCCTAGGAAAGATTGGCTGTCAGCTCGGCTTTGACTTTGTCTTCTGATTGAATGTCAGGTTGTAAAGCTGCTGCCTTTTTCTTAAAAAGATACAGTGGAAGAAAAGGACTGAACATGGAAACTGTAAAGCCTAATTTAACCCAATGTGTGAAGCTGTGGACGTATAGCAGGAGCAAATACAAGCACCAGATGTGTGTCTAATATAAATAACATATTTAATCTATTTTTCTTTTTTCCTCTTTTAAATATCGATCATTTGATGCGCTTTGCAGCTCTCTCTGTATCATGCTGCCAGATCTGTCTGGTTTTCATCTAGGTCCACTAAATGACATCATGGGGGCGGCTACTTTCATTTTCACTGCTACAGTCCCTCACCTCTGCTCGTGTTCAAACCAAAAGATCGGGGCGGTTTTTCACATGGCAGGCTTTTACGTCCTTCATACATGTTGAGATCAAGTTTATCAACTTGATGAGGGAATGTCTTGACAATCCAGACGTGACTCAGACTAATGCAACAAGTAAAATCCTTCATGACTTCACGCTTTAACAGGCAGTCAAGCAGGTCGTACACCAGAAGTGCTGTGACATGGCGCGCACATGACAGTTTAAACTATCACACACCAGACGCGCACATTCACATGATATTTAACATGAAACTAATCAGATGGCGCCCTGTGGCGTGGCTGAAATATGACCTGCGTCTTGAATCGGGACTGGGCGGCACCGGTGTGTGTATAGAAACCTGTTTAGAAGTCTAAAATGCATGGCGCTGCGTGATGCTGTGCCTTGCGTCGCCGAGAGGCGCTTCTGGTGTGCTTCCTGCTTCATACAGAGAGTGAACCAAAGCGCATCGGTGCCATTATAATGTATTAAATATTTATATATTTTAAAATCACGATTTCTCGATTTGATTCAAAATTAAATCGTCTTAAAACGTAAATTCAAATTAATCGAAAAAATTGGAAAAATCGTCCAGCCCTAATATATATGTAGAAAATGTTTAGGAGTTTGTGCTCTTTCACAGATACACCTAACTTATACACACACACACACACACACACACACACACACACACACACTTGCCAGTGGTCACGTAATGAACTAATATCAACATTTAAATGAATAAAAATCTGAAAAACATTATACAAAATGAAAGACAAATTGTGTAAGTACAGATAACTGATAAAACATCAAATGTTATTATTATTATTATACTATTAATAACAACAACAACAACAACAAATGATGGTTAATTTTATATATATATATATATATTAGTGGTGGGTGGTTATCAGCGTTAACGTGAGACTCTTATCACACAATAAAAAAATTATGTCCGTTAATCTATTCTGAGCGATGGGTTGGGAGCTGGTGTGAACCTGTGCGGATGTATACCTGACCGGTGAGCCGTCTGACAAAACAGAGCCCTTCTGAATCACATCAGCAGGACGCCCTTCTGGATCTTTCACTTACTCTGAGGACCCTCCTGACTACACTTACATGGACATCTGTAGTCTAGTTATTTACCTTAATAGACAATAATATAATGAAGGTGTTTAATTAATCACCTTCTTGCAGTGAAGCCACAATGCTAACCACTGAGGCATCGTGTCGCCCCTATATACATGCATATATCAGTGTAAAAGAGACCTGATTTACATGAAGAACAGCATCTGTACACTGACTGACTGACTTCACATTCACTGTGTGACAAGCTCATATCTGGACAACAGAGAGAGGTCTCCGCTGAGTGATGATAATCTGATGTGTGTGTGTGTAAGAGAGTATCTGTGTCTCTGTGTGAGCGTGTGTGTGTGTGTGTATGTACCTCAGGGAAATAGTCTTGAGGAAACTTCTCCTTCTCCAGGGTGGCGGTGCTGCTCAGAGCGTCTGAATAAACCTCTTTACCCACAACCTTCCGGAACTTTTTAGCTGAAAGAAACACACACACACACACACACACACACACACACACACACACACACACACACACACACACACACAGAGGAGTTCATTAGAGAGAGATCAGCACTGCTGCGCCACCTACTGGACACACACACACACAGTAACATTTGTGCACACACAAATCCGTGCACACACACATATATGGACACACACACACACACAGCGACACATACATGCACACACACAAACATTTGTACATACACACACAC